TGCAGTTGGCAATTCAGAGGGAAATAAACAAGGCCTAGGAGGCATTGTCGGGAGCTCAATTTCACTCTCAAGCATCTCCAAGACTTTGGTCATTGAAGGGCGAATGACAGGTTTCATCTGTATGCACCATAAAGCAACTATGACCATCTTCTTCACAATATGCTTTTCAGCATTTGTAACATCTCCCAAATCTATATCCTTGCCTCGATCAAATTGGTCATAAATCCATGTTGGGAAGTATACCTCACTTGATTGGTCAACAAATTCTTGAAAGTTCCTTCTTTTTCCTACCATTTCCATCAACAACATTCCAAAACTATAAACATCAGCCTTGTATGAGACACCTCCAATATTCTTGTAGAATAACTCTGGAGCAATATATCCTGGTGTTCCTCTTGCGGCTGTGAGAGATACAAAACTATCATCTATAGGATACAATTTTGCAAGGCCAAAGTCAGAAACTTTTGGATTAAAATTGTCATCCAAAAGAATATTGTGAGGCTTGATATCAAAATGTAAAATTTGCATTTCACATCCCCTATGCAAGTATTCAATCCCCCTACCCACCCCAAGAGCAATCTCGAACATTTTTTGCCAACTTAAAGATGTATTGCTTTGGGTTGAAAATATGACTTTGTCCAAAGACCCATTGGGCATGAAGTCATATACTAAGGCTTGCTTAGATCCTTCAACACAAAATCCAATCAGTTGCATGACATTAGCATGATGAATCCTTCCCATGGTAGCAACTTCATTGATGAAATCTTGGCCATTACCTTTTGATGTGCTTAGTAATTTTATTGCTACAAAATGGCCACTTCGAAGTTTCCCTTTGAAAACCGAACCATAACCTCCTTGACCTAATTTATTCTTGAAACTTCCAGTGATCTTCTTTATTTCTGAATATGTGTACCTGATAGGCATGAAGTTATTTTGCTTTTGAAGGAACTCTTCAATTGTATCATCCACAGACAAATGTCTCCTCCTCAATTTGTACACAATGATTGCAAGCAAGATGGAAATCCCAAGCAGAGCTCTAGCTAATATAAGTGCTCCTTCTCAAGAAAAAAGATAGACACATATTAGTATCTACAAATCTGTAATCCTCTCCCATGAAAATGAATAATGTTTTCAATTCATTTAAAGAATTTATCAAACTATTCTAGTTTGTTTTCTTCTTAAGGAACTATATAGTGTAAACACGACGAGTGTGTCAATGATAATTTAAAACACATACACTAGAAGAGCTCTTCAAATGACATAAAACTAGGCCTTAATTTATTCTTAATTTATCTTCACAAGTTAAATGCTTTTCTGGAAATTTTTTGCTATTTGCATACAAAACCTTTGTAATATTTGTGATCTACAAATATTTTAGATTCCAACATTAACTAAGAAATAATGTATAAACCTTTTTTTTTTCAAACATAAGCAGAGGCATACCTGTTGTTTGAAGACATTTGATGTATGTACCTGTTACCAAAAAAAAAAAATGCCAATGTTATATAAAAAGACAAACAGTTATATACTTAGGTGGGGAAAGCAAAATAAAATTATAACATTAATAAAAGTTATATATTAAGACATACTATTTGGTGGAAAATTCGTATTCTCCCTTACATGGGGGCCGCCCAGAAGGAAAAATATAAAGCTGTCCAGAAACGCTTCCAATGCATACTCCACTGATTGTAATCTACAACGTTAAACAAAGCCCAGTGAAGTGATATCAAGTCAAATACAAAGTAAAAAAATTGAAAGCATAATTAGAAGTTAAGAGCATCGAAACAGTGTATTCTTCATATTCTGCATAAAGTGAAGATGTTGACGAGTTTCTGAAAACTTACATCACCTTCAATGTAATTTTGTTCACCCAGCAGCAGTTCTTGGTGAACAAATCCCAATCGATTTCATAGCCCTCTAGCAGTATATGATAGATATCAGAAGCAGAGAGGCCTGTGATATTAGGCAGCCAAAAAGGAAACTCCGAAAACGGAATCTGCCAAACCGAAATCTGCTGAAACGGAATCTCTGCTTCAACTCTGCATGACTCATTGAAATCTGATGCATTTATTCCATAATTGGAAAGAAAAAAGTAGGTGTATGGAGGGGAAGATCTATTGGTGCAAGGTGAGGTATCAACATAAAGTGATGAGTTCATTGCTATTTTGCAATTTAGAACATACATAGTGTTACCCCCAAAACCACAACATGGGCCGCCAAAAAGGGAATTGCGAGGAATGGAGCACTTATCCCTCTTAAGACTGGCATCGACCAATTGGACTCTATAATCTGTCACGTTCTCAACCCTGTGTGAGACTCTATTATAACCGTAATATATATCTTCTCTGATATTCTCAACAAAGAATTTGCCCTGTTCTGTGACCACAGTCGTGCGATTATTCTCGCATACTAGTTCATACCCTGGTAAACCACACCCAACAGGATCGGTATTCAATCGGAAAGGGTATATGATACTAAGGTTGCCGCAAGAATAAAAAGGGGGGCAAGGTTTGTATTTGGCTCTAGCCATACAGGCATCAGGACAGAGAGACAAAGCAAGGGCCATGAGGCTGAAAACTAAAATGAATTTTGTTCTGAACATCCTAAAGGTTGGCCTTGGTAGAACACAGAAACTGTTTACAACAGATCGTAAATAGTTTACGCAATTCAAAGTGAGTAATTCTCAGAGGCAATAAAGCAAACGCCATCAACTCGTTGGGTCAAAGCTGATGAGATGAGAACGTGCAGAAGCATTCAACTTGTTGAATAGAAGAAACCGCCACTGGCTGTAGCTGACTTTGACTTTTCCAAGGAATTTTGGGACCCATTTGTTATAGTGATTTTGGGGCAGGACGGTTAGTGGTTTTTGTCTAAATCGATAAGTATAATTATTTAATAAATTTATATATTTTAAAATTATTATAAATAAAGTGTTTACT